CATGTTTCTAAGATTCACTGAAGATAGTAATTTTACAATGCTTTCAATAATATAAATGTTCTGGTACTCTGTTTAAAGATCCAGTTGGGAAAAATCATAATATAGAAGCTCATTTTCAAAAATCTAGAAGACGCATAAGGTAATTTTTTGTCCAAGCTGATAAAAATATGCCTGTGAAGAAATTATATTGTGTCCTGGAAATTTTAAACAAAAGCAACAGTAAAAATAAGTAGCACTTAGAGTGCATTTATGATTATTTAATTCTCACAAAAAAAAACATAAACCTCAATTTCAGGTTGGTGAATTGCATTTGCAAGGCATTCTTTTAAGAACAATGTCAAAGAAACAATTCCTCAAAAGAGATCCCCATTAAAATTAAACCACAATGAGAGTTATGCTGTAGAACCGTCATTCTTTTTATTTTATATCATTCATATTACAAAAGTTACACACAGTGAAGAGGTGATGAGTATATTGTCAAAGCGTTCTATTAAGCAAATCGTCCATAGTAAATCTACTGTAACTCATATACTTATTGTGACAGTGCTGTTTAGTGAGATGGGCAGTTAGAGTCAAAATTCAAGGGATGTTGTGGAAGAGAAATCTTAATCCCTATACCACAAGTAAATGAGGATAGAGCATCAAACAGAATTCAATGTGGAAATCTATTATCTGTTATTCTTAATTTACTAACTATATCATATGTTCTTCTGGAAACAAGCCATATGAGCATAGCGATATGGAAGACATAACATACCTCATTCTTATAAAATTAGAAGATATGTAGCAGTATCCACATTGAGTATACTTGTTGCACTTGATTCAAGTATACAAGTAATTGATTTTCTATCTTCATTGTTAATAAATATTAACAAACTCACACTACAGAGAAACCCAATGAGTACTAGGACTGCTTAAATAAAACATGGGTGTAAAAACAACGATGAAATCTTAAGAACTGATTCCTCTTTAAAATTAGACAAAATAGTAAGTATAATTCATTCAGATATAAAGAGTCAATAGTGTAATGATTATGGTAAAGATTTTACATGTGCTTGTAGACATGAAAGAAGTCAAACTGGAGAGAAGAAACCTTTCATATATACTGAATGTGGTAAAACCGGTGTATATTAGAGTCATCTTCAAAGGCATGAAAGTGCACCTATGGGAAAGAAACATTTTCAATGTAATCAGTGTGTTAAAGCCTTTGCACATCACAGTAATATTCAAAGGCATAAAAGAAACCATACTGGAGAGAAACCCTATGAATGTAATCAATGTGCTAAAGCTTTTGCACAACACAGTACTCTTCAAAAGCATAAAAGAACACATAATGGTACAAAAAACTCTGAATGTAATCAGTGTGATAAAGTCTTTGGCAAACATAGTACTCTTCAAATCCATAAAAGAACCCATATTGGAGGGAAACCCTATGAATGTATTTAATGTGGTAAAGCCTTTGGAAAATATTGTCAGCTATAAATGCATTTAAGAACACCTACTGGAGATAAACCTTATGAATGTAATCAATGTGGTAAAGCCTTTGCATATCACCAAACTCTTCAAGTGCATGAAAGAACACATACTGGAAATAAACCTTACGAATATAATCAATGTGGTAAAGCCTTTGTACATCACAAACATCTTAAAATACATAAAAGAAGTCATACTGGAGAGAAACCCTATGAATGTAATCAGTGTGGTAAAGCCTTTGCACAACATGCTCATCTTCAAAGTCACAAAAGAACACATACAGGAGAGAAAACCTATGAATGTAATCAGTGTGGTAAAGCCTTTGCATGACTGAGTCATCTTCAAAGGCACACAAGAACTCATACTGGTGAGAAGCCTTATGAATATAATCAGTGTGGTAAAGCCTTTGCACAACATGGTCATCTTCAAGTACATGAAAGAACACATACAGAGAGAAACCCTATGAATGTAGTCAATGTGGTAAAGCCTTTGCATATCACCAAACTCTTCAAATGCATGAAAGAACACATACTGTAAATAAACCCTATGAATATAATCAATGTGGTAAAACCTTTGTACATCAAAAACATCTTCAAATACATAAAAGCAGTCATATTGGAGAGAAACCCTATGAATATAATCAGTGTGGTAAAGCCTTTGCACAACATGCTCATCTTCAAAGTCATAAAAGAACACATACAGGAGAGAAACCCTCTTAATGTAAGGAATGTGCTAAAGCTTTTGCACGATTCAGTCATCTTCAAAGACATAAAAGAACACATACTGGAGAGAAACCCTATGAATGTAATCCGTGTGGTAAAGCCTTTGTACAATATGGTCATCTTCAGTGTCATGAAAGAACACATATTGGAGAGAAACCTTATGAATGTAATCAATGTGGTAAAGCCTTTGCATGATTGCATCATCGTCAGAGGCACACAAGAACTCATACTGGTGAGAAGCCCTATGATTGTAATCAGTGTGGTAAAGCCTTTGCACATCACCAAACTCTTCAAATGCTTTAAAGAATACATACTGGAGATAAACTCTGTGAAAATAATCAATGTGTTAAGGCCTATGCTCATCACAGTACTCTTCAAATACATGAAAGAAGACATCCTGGAGAGAAACCCTATGAATGTAATCAATGTGGTAAAGTCTATGCTCATCAAACTACTCCTCAAATACATAAAAGAAGGAATGCTGGAGCAAAAGCCTATGATCATAATTGACGAGGTAAAGCTTTTCGTCATCACAGTCATCTTCAAATGCATGAAAGATCACATACTAGAGAGAAATACAATGAATTTAATCAACGTCTTGAGGACTTTCTTCACACACAGTACTCTTCAAAGGCATGAAACAACACCTAATGGAGAGATACCCTATGAATGTATTTTTTGTGATGATACCCTATGAATGTATTTTTTGTGATAAAGCCTTTGTATGCATCAGTAGTCTTTGAAATCATTACAAAAAATCATACTGCAGAGAAATCCTACAAATATAATCAGTGTCATACACTTTTGCTCTTTATACATGAATAAACCTTTTTCTGTCAAGCCAGTCTCTTAAAGCCTTTGCATATTACATTAGTCTTTGAGTACCGGCAAAAAGTACTAATGGCTTATTATTATAATGTATTAGGCAAGATTCTTATCCAAAACATTTTCATTTTTACACAATGGTGTTTATTCTGTAAAAAAATTTTACAGTGTCAGCAATCTTTTCATGCATCATGATGTCCATTTCTACAACGTTTGCCCCTGTAAAACCATGGAATAAATGAATTTAGTAGTTTATAAAGTCCTCTGTGTAGGGTAAATGGTCAGCCAAAGAAACACACCTGGAAACTAAAACCGGAGCAATTGAAAAACATGGAATTTGGCACTGAATCCAGAGCCAAAGAAATACACTCTACCTCTGACCAACTGAGGACAAAACAAACTAATCCCTGAGCACAAAACCAAACAATCTCTGCACATGAAAGCCTCCCAATCTGTGAGCTTGAGCCTGAAATCCAACCAATACCTATCCTCAAAATCTTTCCCCTGGAAATCTCCACCATTTTGAAGCCCCGTAGAAGCTGTTTCTGTTCAGCTGGCAGCTGCCCTTTTTCACACTGACACAGGCAGGCACAATTCTGGATTCCTCTCCTCTATTTAAACCTCTTGAATTAGATTTGGGTGAAGATCTTTTGCAAGAGCAGAGCAGAATCTCTGCTGGGAAAATTCCTAGTGGAGTCAAGCAGAGAAGCAATGGACATCTCTGCTGGGAAACTCACTAGTGGAGTTGAACAGAGAAAAAATGGACATCTGTGCTGCGAAATTCTCTTAGGGGAGTGGAGCAGAGCAGCAAAAGCACATCTCTGCTGGAAATCTCTCTAAGCTGAGTGTAGCACAGCTAAGCTGTAATGGCTTTTTGTTGGAGAGGAGCAGTTTTGCCACATTCTTCAAGTAAACCATCCCACACTGGCACAAAAGTTCAGGACTAGCCTAACTTCTAGCAGTCAGTATTCCTATCTCTCACAACTTTAGGTATCCAGCTTCCTTTCACATCTTTTTTTGAGACTGGTAAGTGTCCTGTAAATCTTTCCTCACAGTTTCAGGTATTGCCTGACACCCTAACAGCCAGGATATCTTTCTCCTCTCATATGTGTATACGCAGGATACATTCCACTCCCAACAATAGGCGTAGCTAAACTTTTGATACTCATGGAACTTATCCTTCTAGAGCTAAACTCTTCAACTATGAATTTAAATAATAATGTAGTGGTTTTAGATTTTAAACTCCTCTTTAATTACATGAAATAACTAATTCAGGTGTAAAACTTTATAGATTTTTATTAGTTCTTTTTCTGTTGTTGTTATGTAGTGTCTATCTTAACTTATAATGAGTTTTATTTGGTCACAGGATCAACATGCAAGTGGCATGTCATCAAGTGTCAGTCATGGCAGCTAAATTGAGAGCTCACATCCTTTACTTTTATCATGAAGCAGAGAGTGGGAACTGAAAATGATGGGTGGATGTAAATGATCAAATCCTACCCCCAATGACATATTTTCTCAGCAGAACAGCATTTCCTAAACCTTCACAAATGATACCACCAACTGAAAACGATTTTTTTGACTTCAAGTGTACATGCTTGCTTTCTGTTATATGAACCAATTGACAATGAAAAAAAAATCTCTGTAAACCTTTAAATGTCTCAATACCTGTGTTACAGAAATGCATGCTTACAAATGAAGGAGTTTCATCAAAGAAAAAATTGTTTTTTTTGAAGAGTTGTTTTAATTTTAATTATGTGATGTCAGTACATGGTTTTTTGGTGTTATTTGAATTTGCAAGCTAGTTTCTGAAAATGTAGGCTCTCAGATCTTCTTGTAGCAAGAACTAAAAAAGTTGTCAAAATCAGGTCTTATTCCTGGGGATGAACTTTTCTTAACTGTCCAACCATGTCTCTAGCTGTGAAAATATTTTAATGCCTATTTATATCATGTTAAAGTGAGGAAATAGGGACAAATTCAAAAAAGAGAAAAAATTTATTCACGTAAACAATTTGGTACAGATTTTAGATATCACAGTTGTCTTCAGCTTAAACAAAAGAATCTTACTTCATTTTCTTTTCATCATAGGCTTGAAGGAAGTAAACTAGTTATTATGTTTAGTCAAGACTGATGGGGGAGATCAGTGCATTTTCATTTCTATTTTGAAACATTTGAGGTGGACACCAAAGTTTGTGCTATATGTATGGCATATTCATTTAGCTAAATTTATTTTTGTGGTCTTTATATTACTTTTGTGGCTTTTGTTCATCTTCCATTGTGTTTTTACTTAGTGATAAGTATTTTTTCTGCTGTAATACATAGAATGGGAAATCTATCATCTTACCAGTCTATTGTTTATTTAAATATCAGGCAGTGTATGATCATACTTTCTGAGTAAGTGTGTCTGTGAAAAGGGTGGTGGGTTGTGGTGTTTGGTTTTGATTTCATGTTTTCACAAATTGCTTTGAGATTTTGTTGTTGACATTAAGCCTGGCATTGATTTCAGTAATGATTCAACAATACTTTTGAACTCATGGTCCTCAAGTTTCTACCTCCAGAGTAGTCTAAGTGTAGAGAATCTACTCCCAATGTGTGCTGTTTTGTCAACACAACAATGTTAATTTTAAAATGCTTAATGCATAAGAATATAAAAAACATTAAACACTTTATGTGTGTATTCAAAGCCATATTTTCATGTATCTGGTAGAAGTGTAATAAAGTAGAATAATCAGTAATCAGTTGTTTATCTTACATCATCAGGGCAGAGCTGTTGTGAGCAGCTTAAGGGGTCCAGGATACATCACCCTCCAGGGCTGAACTGTTCCCTTGCAATTCCAGCCATCAGAGCTGTGCTAAACAGCTCCAGGTGTCCAGGACACCTTCAGGACAGAGCTGCTCTTCTGAGATGCTCGATGTGTGGGATACCTTGCACACCAGGGCTAAATTGTCTCCTTGAAGTTCCCACCATCAGAGCTGTCTTAAGCAGCTCAATGTGTTGCCTGACTCACAGGTAGTCAAGACACCTTTCCCCAGAGTTGTTGCAACACATTTACCTGCATTGTTGTTGCCAAAACCCAGGACCAAACCCAAAGAGTGGCATACAATTTACTTACAGCTATTCTGACTCTAGGCCAGCAGAGGCAGGCTGCTTAGATGGTGGGAGGTGGACGAGCATGAGCTCTCTCAGGAGGTTTGCTGAAATAGCTGTCTAAGAATTTACTTAGTGTCTACTCCACAGGTGTGTACCCTCCAGAATCTGTGAAGATGTTTCTCCTGTATTCAAAAACAAATTCTCCATGATCATACCTGTGACAATGGAGACGAAAATAACATCATGAACAGTTTTTAGGATGGGACTCAACATCATGACAGATTTATAAACTCCCCAAAGGAATACCTATGTGTCACTAAAATAAGTACACTCGCAGAACTATAATGCTCAAAGTGGTGCTCCCATTTTTCACCAAGGAATCACCTGAAAACTGTGAGATAGGGAACTCCTCATGTCCAACCACAGATACCTGATTGCAGGGAATAGTGGGATATACATGCACAAACACATAGAAAAATACACAACACATACACATGTGAGAGACAGAGAAAAAGATACTTAGAGAGACAGAGAGAGACTGAGAGTGGGAGAACTTCATCAATTGGATGCTGAACAAATCCATGCAGGTGTGTCCTTTCTGAGATGAACAAAATGAGCAGGGATCAGTCTCAGTCCTTGTATCCACACATTTAGATGTGTGACTAGGCCTCTCCAACTGCTGCTTGGAGAATCAAACACACAAGGCCTTTCCAAGCAAGTAACAAAACAATCAAGTCAAACTCACAGAAACTAACATCTCACACAGGCCAGCACTTGATAGAATCTCTTCAAATGCATGCTGGGAACTCACATACTACTGCCTCCATCCATGAGAAATATGACTCATACCACAGGCTCTGTTTTTGTTTCTTTTTAGAGGAAGCAGAATAGTCTTTGTCCTCATGTCATTCCTGTCCACATTTGAGATTCTCAATTTGGGAAGAGTTCAGAGACATGATTTTGGGCAAACACATACCCTGAAGATGCAGCCTACCAGAAACACAAACCTTGTATAAAATGAATTAACGATCACAGAGTAGACCTAATATTGAAACCACAGGGTTGGAAAGAATGAATACCTATTCTTCATGATCTCTTCTGTGATAAAGATAAGGCAATCTCACTGCTAATTTCTTTCAATGGTCATTTTCTGTAGCTGACTGGTCATTTTCTGCACCTTCTGCTTCAACTGCATCTTGGTGAAGAAGGTTTGGTGGAAAAGTAGCTCCTTGGTGCTCCTTGTGGGTAGATGAACAAAAATTAACTTGCAACATGACAAGGCAAAGAGGATGGAAAGATCACCCTGAGTCCTAATCAAATGTTTGAAAAAGCTTGTTTACCAATGACTCAGTGACACCCCAAATTATTTTGTTCCATGCTTCAGATGCCCCCTTTGGGGAATTCAGCTGTCTCCTCTATTTGAAGGGAAATGTTTATCTCATGTATTTGGTTCTTCCTGCCCTCATAACACATGATCCCAGTAACCACAGAGATATCCTCTTCAGGCTTATTCACAACTACAGTCTCAGAATTCAACTTGGCTGCAGAGTCCACAAGCCTATGGGTTTATAAGTCAGGGGAAAATTGCCATAGTTCACAATCACCCCAGTCATTTATAGTTTCCCCAAATATCTTGACAGTTCACTAACCATATAACTATTGATTGAGAACACATATAAGGGCAGAACATGGTAACCAAACTCAACAAGTCACCTCACTGACAACTCAGGAACACAGAGCAGCTGGGAAGTACCTAAAGTTAGGCAAAGTGGTTGAAGTACAGTGATGTCCTGTTTGAAATGGGCACACCTCATTAATCCCTCCCACTTTAATGTTGGTCTCATGTTCACTCATCAATTCCTATCCTCCAAAAAGAATGAAAGCAGAGTTCCCAGCATAAATCACTGGCCTTACCAGTTGCTGACTTCGGAGCCAGAACAATTAATATCCTAGAATCCTTGAATTTCAAAAGCCTTGACAAACAGGGAAGTACTGTTGGTTCCCAGAAACTCCAGCTTTCTGGGCTCCATTACCGGAAGATTCAGATCAAGCCCAATTCCTCCAGGAAGTTTCCCTTTTCCTGCACAAATCTCATTATAAAATTCTCTTGACCATTTCTTTCTTGATGTTTTACACTGAGGCTGAAGGTCAGCTTTCTTCTATCACTTTCTGATATCTCTACCCTCTAGATCTCTTTCTGAATTAGACTTTTCAGTATGCCATCATGTTCATCAGTAAATATTGAAGACATTGAGTAAACTTCTCAAGGGCAGTTGGTGTTGCCACAATATTTATGACATCACAGAGGAGGCCAAGGCTCTCCCGGATACAGTAGAATATCCAGGGAAGAGCTGCAGATTTCATGGGAACTGACATTGCTTCCCTGCTAAGGAGCTTTCCTCATAATATACCAGAAGTCAAGCTGACCTTTGCAGGAGCCTCTGCTGGAATACAAGGGAAGCCCTTCAGCACCCCCTTCATTCAAAGCCAGAGATCTATCCCTGATGATAGGACATCCTTTAGTTTTTTTCATGTGTGGAACTGAATGTTGATCTCCTACTGAAATTTATGTACACAAGGTAATAATATAGCAATTCGTATATGTTGAAGTTCATCATAAGTACCTTCATAAGTACCTGCAAATGAGATGATTGGCCACATTAGTGGAAGCCCATGAACTGTGAACTGGTGGCTGTGTAGCCCTCAGGGGACTGGAGTATGTCCTCTGGATACAGAAGATAGTTGTTTGGCTCAAAATGATTTGGGGGCACTTAGGCAGGGCATCAGGATCTGTCCTTGGTCTATGGGCAGATTTCTGGAACCCAGAGCCTGTGGTGTGAAACCTTAAACAGCCTTGGTTTAGTGGGGAGTGACTTGGACCTGTCTAGGCTCAGTGTGCTGGGCTCTGCTGACTCCCCATGAAAGACCTCAATTTGGGGTTTGTGGGGTGGCTTGGGACAGAGGGCTGAAGGTGGATAGTGGGAGGAGGGAGTTCTCTTGATAGTATGTGGGGTGAGTAGAAAATTTCTGAATAATGACAAATGAAAAAAAAAACCCACAAAACAATACCAAAAAAAGATGTAAAAAATACCTACATTTCCTTATCTCCTTAGCCATAAGACATTATAGACTTAATGCTGACTATGAAGGACACTTGTTAAACAACTTCCTGGTAAAGAGTCTACAGTAAACAGCTAGGGAGAGTTATACTAGAGGAAGCATCTGAAATATCCTCAGAACAAGTACCCGTAGGAGAGTGATATGGTCATCGAGCTCAGTGTGACTAAAATCTGTGTCATCAGCATCTGTGTAGTGGTTTTTGTCCTCTCTGTTGAGTAGCTTAAAGTGATCTGCTGTTACTGGGTAGTAAAGGTGGCCAGACTTCTGGAGTCTTCCATATAGAATATGAGTTTCCCTTGGAGCAAAGGATATTCAGGAAAATCTTTTGAAGCTTCTTCATAGATAGCAATATAGACACTCAGGTTCCACTGGACACTCTAGATCAATGGTTATTTTTTTCCAATTCTCTGACCCTTTCAATCTTTAAAAACATGAACAGTAGTTCCTCGTGTTGTGGTGAGCCCTAAACATAACTGTTTCATTGTTTCTTAACTTTTATTTTGCTGCTTTTTAAAAAGATTTATTTATTTATTATGTATACAGTATTCTGCCTGCACATATACCTGCATGCCAGGAGAGGGCACCAGATCTCATTACAGATGGTTGTTAGCCACCATGTTGTTGCTGAGAATTGAAATCAGTATCTTTGGAAGGGCAAGCAGTGCTTTTAACCTCTGAGCCATCTCTCCAGCCCTAATTTTGCTACTGTTGGGAATCATAATTCACATATTTGATGTGCAGGATATCTGATATGTGACCCCCGCAATGGGGGGTGACCCACACAGGTTGAGGAACACAGATCTGAATGCAGGCAGAAATCTCCTCAAAGCCTGGCAGTGATGCTGGGGCAGTGTGATTCTTACTTTTGGGACAGGGTTTCTCTGTGTAACTGTGGAGTCTTTCCTGGAACTCACTTTGGAGGCCAGACTGGCCTTGAACTCACAGAGATCTGCCTACATCTGCCTCTGGAGTGCTGGGATTAAAGGCATGCACCATCACAGCCCAGCGATTCTTAGTTTTTATTATCAGACTGATTCAAACTAGTCCACCTGGGAACAGGGACCATCAATGAGGAATTATATAGATCAGATTTACTTTGAGCATGTCTCTATGGGATTTTATTAATTATTAATTGAGATAAGAATGCCTAAAATGGGCAGAATCATTTCATTGTCTGCAACCTGTACTGTATAAGTATGAAGAACCTTGAGCATAAGCATAAAAAACAGGCAGCATGGGTACATTTGTTTATTTCTGCTCTTGGCTGTGGATGTGATATGATTAGCTAAGTTCCTACCTTGATTTCCCAAGAATGGAACTATTACCTGGAATTGTGTGCTATGATAAATTGTCCCCATTCTAAGTTGCTGTGCCTGGTAACTCAGTGTAATATAGCTATTAAGAAAACATTCTATCACAGAGGGTTTTTTACATGTCAGTGTGATGTGCATTTCATGAAATGCTCAACAGCACCATATCTGTCTCAGAACAAAGAAATAGTGGACACGTCTCCTGGGAAATTCTCTTAGGGGAGTGGAGCAGAGCAGCAAAAGCGCATCTCTGCTGCAAATCTCTCTAAGCTGAGTGTAGCACAGCTAAGCTGTAATGGCTCTCTTTAGGAGAGGAGCAGGTTTGCCACATCCTTCAAGTAAACCATCCCACACTGGGACAAATGTTCAGGACTAGCCTAACTTTCTAACAGTCAGTATTCCTATCTCCTCACAGCTTTAGGTATCCAGCTTCCTTTCACATCTTTTTTTTTGAGACTGGTAGTTATCCTGGAAACTTTCCTCCACAGCTTCAGGTATTGCCTGACACCCTAACAGCCAGGATATCTTTCTCCTCTCAATTGTGTATATGCAGGATACCTTCCACTCCCAACAATAGGCGTAGCCTAACTTTTGATGCTCAGGGAACTTCCTCTTCCAGAGCTAAACACTTCCACTATGAATTTCAATAATAATATAGTATTTAGGTTTTAAACTCCTCTTTAATTACATTAAATAACTAATTCAGGTATAAAACTTTATGAATTTGTATTAGTTCTTTTTCTGTTCTTGTTATGTAGTGTCTATCTTAACTTAAAATGAGTTTTATTTAGCCCAAGAATCAACATGTAAGTGGCATGTCATCAAGTGTCAGACTTGGCAGCTAAATTGTGAGCTCACAACCTTAGCTTGCATCATGTAGAGTGTGGGAACTTAAAATGATGTGTCGGTACAAATTATCAAATCCTACCACCAGTGACATATTTTCTCAGCAGAACAGCATTTCCTAAACCTTCACAAATGATACCACCAACTGAAAAGGATTTCTTCAACTTCAAGTGTACATACTTGCTTTCTGTTATGTGAACCTAGTCACAAAGAAGAAAATCTCTGTAAACCTTTAAATGTCTCAATACCTATGTTATAGGAATACATACTTACAAATGAAAAAGTTTCATCATTGAAAAATTGTTTTTTGAAGAGTTGTTTCAATTTTAGTAATGTAATGTCAGTATGCTTTTGTGGTATGTGAATTTGCATGCTAGTTTCTGAAAATGTTAGGCTCTTGAATCTTCTTGTAGCAAGAACCAAAGGAAGTTGTCAAAATCAAATCTTATTTCTGGGAATGAACTTTCCTTAACTGCCCAAACATGTCTCTATCCATGAAAATATTTTAAAGCCTATTTATATCAAGTTAAAATCAGGAAATAGAGACAAACTCATACACAATAAAAATTGTATTCATGTAAACAATTTGGTAGAGATTTTCGACATCACAGTTTTCTTCAGCTCAAAGAAAAAGATCTTACTTCATTTTCTTTTCATCATAGCCTTGAAGGAAGTAAAATATTTACTATGTTTAGTCAAGACAGATGGGGGAGATCAATGCATTTTCATTTCTATTTTGAAACATTTGAGGTAGATACCAAAGTTTTCTCTATGTGTGACAAATTCATTTTAGTTAAATTTAGTTTTGTGGTCTTTATATTCCTTCTATGGCTTTTGTTCATCTTCCATTGTGTTTTTACTTAGTGAGATGTATTTTTCTGCTATCATACATAACATGAGAAACCCATCATCTTACTAGTCTATTGTTTATTTAAATAATAGGCAATGTGTGATCATACTTTCTGAGTAAGTGTATCTGTGAAAAGGGTCGTGGGTTGTGGTGTTTGATTTTGATTTCATGTTTTCATAAATTCCCTTGAGGCGTTGTCTTTATATTAAGCCTGGAATGGATTTCAGCAATGCTTCAAGGATACATTTGAACTCATGATCCTTATGTGTTTACCTCCAGAGTACAAGTCCAAGAATACATAATCCATGTCCAATGTGTACTGTTTTGTCAACACAACAATGTTAATTTTAAAATGCTTAATAGAAAAAATATAAGAAATATTAAACACTTTGTGTCTATTCAAAGAGGTATTTTCATGCATCTGCTAGAAATGTATTCAAATAGGATAACCAGTAATCAATTGTGTATCTTATATCATAGCTTGATGATTTCTTTCTGTATATATAATTTGAAGTTCCATGCATCTTCGTTTCCCCATCAGTTATCCATTTGGCACTTCACATTGAAGTATTGCCCTGTAAGGGAATCATCCTGAGATGCCAGATAATGTAATGACACTAAGATTTTTTTCTTTTTATTATTGAGGTATTTTCTCTTTGTTTTACATACCAACCACAGATTCTCATGTCCTCCCTTCTCCCACCTCCCAACCTTCAACCCAAACTAACCCCATTCCCACTTCCTCCAAGGCAAGTTCTCCCATGAGGAGTCAGCTGAGCCTGGTACATTCAGTTGAGGCAGGTCCAAGCCCCTCCTTCCCATACCAAGGCTGCACAAAGGGTCTCATTGTAGGCACTAGTCTCCAAAATGCCAGATCGTGCACTAGGAACAGGTCGCAATCCCACTGCCTGAGGGCCCCCTAAACAGTTCCAGCTAATCAACTGTTTCACCTATCCAAGGGCCTATTCCAGTACCATGGGGGCTTCTTAGCTATTGGTCCCCAGTTCATGTGTTTCCACTAGTTTTAGGTAGTTTTCTCTATATTTTTCCCCAGCACGGTCTGAATGTCCCTTGCTCATAGAATTCCTTATTGATGTAACCAACCGTTTTATTAAATAAGAAACACAGAAATAATGCAAAA